GCCGGCGGGGTCCCGCTCGCTCGGGCTGTGCCCTGAGAGCCGCCCCAGCGCAGCGCAGGTAGCAGGAAAAGCCAGATGGGATCAAATCAGCCCTGCGGCGGTGCCGGCTGCTCCTCCAAGGGACAGGGACAGGGACAGGGACAGGCTGGGACCCGGCCAGGCTTGGCTCCAGCTGAGCCCTGCTCATCTTCCCTGCACGCCGAGCCGGGGTTTAGCCTGATTCAGGGAAAGGTTGAAATGGATTTTGGGCTGTGAGGTGCTGCGGTGGCTCTTTGGGGATGCTGAGTGGGCTCTTTGGGGCTGTGGTTTTGCCCCCCTGGGATTCACGGAGCTGCTGCCAAGTGTTGGACCCACTCTGGAAGCTGCTGATGGATGGACACACGGACACAAAGCGCTTTGATCAGCCTGAACCAGCAGAGATGTGGAGAAGGAGGTGCATGGAGTGACCTTTTCCCCCTGGAGCATCCCGGCTCCGCCCGGCCGGGCCAGGCCCCCCTCCTGCTTACTGCCCTGTAACACGAGAAAGAACCCGAGCCCAAATCGATGGAAACTTTCCCAGCGTGTCCCAAAGCTCTGGGACAGAGGCAGAGCCTCCCCCTCCACCTGCTCCCCCACCCCAAGGCTCGGTGCTGTCACCTCGCTCTGTCCCCCCCTCGAAATCTGCACCAGCAGCAAAGCCTGGAGGAGGTCGGCGGCCGGAGCCAAAAATGGAGAGAAGGTATAAATGGAAAGCAATAGGAAGCCGCTAATGGGGTCAGACAGATCCTGCATTGATCCCCGTTTCTGCAAGAGCAGCACTGAGAGCAGCCTGAGAGGTGACAGCTTTGGGGTCCTGCTGTCACTCCAGGCTGGTGGCTTCATGTGCAGAGGGCAGGGCAGCCCCCAGCCCAGCCCAGCAGCCCCCACGTTGCCCCCAGGAGAGGACACAGGAATTCGGACCCATAATAAGTAATTAGGACTTAAAGTGATTGAAATGACACCAGTGGGAGCCTCTGACTGCTGGTAAATCCAGGGTTCCTCTCAGCACTCACCCCATGCTCAGGAACACTTCACCCTCCCAGCTTCTCCAAGGACAAACTTCCCCTCAATCACTACCACCCAGAAAATACCCACCAAAAAAAAAAAAAAAAAGAGAAACAACATCTGACTGCCCCAAACCCACAATCCCATAAAGCAAACTCTCCTCTCCTCTACCCCCAAACTTCCCCCATGGCCACAACAGCAGCTGAGCCCAAGATGGGAGCAACAAACCCAGTTTTAGCATTGTGCTCATCTCCAAGGACAAACTAAACTTCCCCCCAGTCTCCACCATCCAAAAAAAATACCCACCAAACAAAAAAAAAAAAAAAAAAAAAAAAAAAAGAAAAAAAAGAAAAAAAAGAAAAACACCATCTGACTGCCCCAAACCTATCCACCAAACTCTCCAACTCTCCTCTCCTCTGCCTCCAAACTTCCTCTGGCCACGGCAGCGACTGAGCCGAGAGGGGAGCAACAAACCTGTTTTTGGCATCACTCCTCTCCAGGGTTCCTCGTGGCACTCACCCCATGCTCAGCAACACTTCACCCTCCCTGCTTCTCCAAGGACAAACTAAACATCCCCCACGTCACCACCATCCAAAAAATATCCACCAAAAAATAAATTTAAAAAAAACCCCAAAACCTAAAAAAACATCTACTGCCCCAAACCCACCCACCGAACTCTCCTTTTCTCTACCCCCAAACTTCCCGATGGCAGCTGAGCCCAAGAGAGGAGCAACAAACCCGATTTTGGCATCATCCTCATATCCAACTAAAGTTCCCCCCTGTCACCACCATCCAAAAAATACCCACCAAATAAAAGAAAAACACCATCTGACTGCCCCAAACCCACCCACCAAACTTTCCCATTCACTCCCTCTAAACTTCCCCGGCCACAAAGGTGGCTGAGCCCAACAAGGGAGCAACAAACCCGATTTTTGGCATCATCCTCATCTCCAACTAAACTTCCCCCCTGTCACCACCATCCAAAAAATACCCACCAAAAAAAAAAATGAAATAAAAACACCATCTGTCTGCCCCAAACCCACCCACCAAAGTCTCCTCTCTTCTAACCCCAAACTTTCCCTGGCCACAACAGCAGCTGAGCCCAAGAGAGGAGCAACAAACCCGGTTTTGGCATCGTCCTCATCCTCCTCGGGCGTGCGGGGTGCCCGTGCTCCCATGGCCGCCTCCCCCCGGCAGGGGCTGCCCCTCCGCCCGTGCCGGAGCTCGGGGATGCTCCAGCCTCGCCTCTCCTGCGGGGCAGCGCGGGGATGCTCCAGCCTCTCCTGCGGAAAGGCGATGCCGGTGCCCACGTGAGCCCGGTGGGACTCCTTGCCCTCGTTCTCCTTGTGCCTGAAATGGGTTTTTGTGCTCCCTCGCTGGTCCTGCCCGGCAGCAGCAGCGGCAGTCAGGGCTCCAGAGCTCCTCTTTCATCTCTACAAAGGGGTTTGAGGCCTCTGCTTTCCCTGTGAGGAGCAGGGTGGAGCAGAGGAAGAGGAGGTGATGCCCAGATGTGACCCTGTCTGTGCCCTCTGCACAGGCAGCAGGACACGGCTGACAGGGACCTGGTTTTTTGCATCCACAGAGAGAAAATCTGCAAAAGCAGGAGCCTGTGGAGCTCCACAGAGAGAAAATCCGGAAAAGCAGGAGCCTGAAGTGCTCCCTCGTTCTCCTTGTGCCTGAAATGGGTTTTTTTGCTCCTTCACTGGTTCTGCCCAGCAGCAGCAGCAGCAGCCAGGGCTCCAGTGTGTCTCTTTCATGTCTACAAAAATGACTGAGGCCTTTGCTTTCCCAGGGAGGGTGGGGAAGGAGCAGGGTGGAGCAGAGGAAGAGGAGGTGATGCCCAGATGTGACCCCTCTGAGCAGGTCACGGCTCACTGCTCTGCACAGGCAGCAGGACAGGGCTCACAGGGACCTGGTTTTTGCATCCACGGAGAGAAAAACAGGAAAAGCAGGAGCCTGCAATGCTCCCAGTGCCAGCACAGACTCACACCAAGCACCAGGCAGGTGGAGGCACACCCAGAGACCCTCCAGGCTTTTTTCCAGGCACTTCCAAACCCGGGCCTGGCTTTTCCCTGGGACACAGGAAAATCCTCTGTTCCCAGAGCTGTGGTTGCCAGCACTGAGCTCCCAAACTGCTGAAGCTCCAGGAGCTGGAGCTGCCTCCCCAGGGCTTTCCCCATCCTGTTTTTCTGTGGCCAGGGGGAGTTTTTCACCCATGAGACCCTCTGGGAGCGTCACACCTCCATGGACAGCTCTGGGAAGGGGGAGTTTTTCATCCATGAGACCCTCTGGGGGTGTCACACCTCCATGGACAGCTCTGGGTCCTGGCTGTGCCTTGCTCTGAGCCCAGAGCAGCTCTCAGCAGGTGCTGGGCAGAGCTCTGGATGTGGCCACAATCCCTCTGTTATTCCATTGGGACTGTGAGCATCACCCCCCACCCCATGTGAGGCAGCCCAGCTGCTGTTTCAAACCCCCGCCTGTTTTTCCAGCAGGATTTAATGAAACCACAACAATTTCCCTTTCCATGTCTTCCCCCAGCTCTGCCTTCCTTCCCTGCCCCAAAACTCCCCAAGCAAAGAAAAACATCACCGTGGAAAGGGAATGGACACACAGGGATGGGGGAGCACAGCCAGGGCATTTCCTGACTGACCTCCAAAAGTCATCTGCATCCTGAATCCTCCTGCCAGCATCTTGGGATGCAGAGTTTTCCCTCAAGCTTTATTCCAGCCTGTGTAATTGGGGCAGGTTCCCATGCTGTGCTGCTGAACTGGGATAGGAGAATATTGAGATCAGCCTGCACTGAGCCCTTGCAGAGGCACTGGGGTGTGCAAAGTTGGGGTCCCAAGGAAATAAACCCAAGGAAATAAAAGGAATCCTGGAAAATAAAATCTAGAAAATCTCCTCCAAATGTGGAAAAATATCTCAAAGAAAAGCAAAAATTCTCCCCGTGGGTCCCTCTTCCCCAGGCTCCTCTCAGGACGCTGGAGCTGATTTTGCCTCAGAGCAATTTCCCAATCCCCTTCCCATGACCTTCACAAACAGAGGCACTGGGATGGGCTGGGCTGGCCCCCACTGCACAGCCAGGCCAAAGGCACAGCTGCATCCCAGGAGCTGAATCCCACCTTGGGACGCAATGGGAGAGCAGTCACAGGGCACAGACACAGAGCCTGGCCTATCAAAGCTGCAGTTTTAACCCATTTTGGGGTTGGAGCAGCTCAGCCCATGCACCCCGATCTTATCTCTCTGGGAATCAGCAAAACAATATTTTTTCCCCTATTAAAAATGTGGCTTTATTTAGTCGAGGCTTTGTTTGGCTTGAATTCCTGCAGCCTCTAGAGCCGGTGAAACTCATCACACATCAGACCCAAATCAGTTCTTACTGAGTAATCCCAGGGTGATGCTTGGCTGGACCTGAACCCAGCACCACCCAAGCAAAGCCTCTGATCCCTCTGAGCTCTGCCACCCATTCCTGACCCCAGGGACTGATTTTCCATGGACTTTTGCGGTTATTTGGGGGATGGAAATGTTGGTAGAGCACGCAGTGAGCACTGAGCCAGCACCAGGACTGGCTCCTGCACAGGACCAGGGAGGACATCCTAAACCAGACCCTCAGAAAATCAGGTTATTCCTCACCACTAAGTACCAACTGCACCAAATCCATGGAGCCAGCGGCAGTTTTGAGCCAATATTCCCTCCCCACACCCAGCTCTGTGTAACTGGGGATTCCCACATTCCCTCACCTAAAACGTCCCTCTTATTCCTAAGCCAACCTAAAAAGAGAGATCCCATTAACTATTATTATTACTATTATTACTATTACTATTATTATTACTATCATTATTACTATTATTATTGCAGCCTGAACCTGACATTATCTTTCCTGCACCTCATCCCCTCCCAGTTTAATTCATCCACATGCAATGGATGCTCCCAACACCGTTTTGGGATTTAAGCGACTCCCTGGCAGCCATGGATTTCAGCCTGTCAGAAATCCTGGTGAATTATTTCACTCCAAGTCCTCACAGTTTAATTGGAGCAGGCTGAAGGCAACCAATATTTCCTCTGAATGTTCAATGTCCTCGCTGTTCTTGCACACATTCCCATAAAGCAGATTGCAGCAGCTGAGGATTTTCTAATGGAAGCCTTGCAAAACATTCAAAGCCATTAAAAAAGATCACAGCCAAAGGTAACCACTTTATTTAAGTCTTGGAAGAGAAAGAGAGGCTTTAAATGCTCAAAGCACAGAGTGTCTCTGTCTGGGGTCGGGCACAGACCCAAGAGCAGCCAATATTCCTGTATCAGCACAAGTTGGTCTAAAACCCTGAACCCAGCACCAATTTAGCTGGAGATAAAATGGAAACCTTTTCAACCAGGTGATTCTTCCACATCCTACTGTCAATAAACTAAAATAAATGGCTTAATATAGGTGGGAGCTTTCCCAGCTGGGTGTTGGGCTCAGGTTCATTTCCATGATATCATCAGTGGTGTCTACAAGCAGAGAAAACACAATAAAAACCATCACTCACCTGCAGCCCAGCTTACGGCCCTTCCTCGGGGAAGAGGAGGATCCCAGGGGTTCTGGACATGGCAGGTCCCTGCACGTCTCTGACACACAGGTAAGGATTAGGGTTTGTCTCAGGAAAGACTCAGATTCGGAAATCCTACACCCCAGTGAAACCCTACCTTGCCTGGCTGCCCTTGGATTTAAAGGAAACACGGGGAGAAATGTGGAGCTGCAAACAGGGCTGGGGAGCAGCTTCACACAGGGGGAACTCAGCCCCCAAAATGCCCCAAAACACCCCAAACCTCCAGCTGCCACCCCAAAGGGAGGACTTTGACCATGGAGGAACTAATGAGCTAAAAATGGGAATGAAAAAGTTTTACATTAAATACATTACCTTGAGGAATGCAGATTACTGTGGAAGACAGTCCAAGTCTGAGTAACCAGACTGGTGTTTGACGTGTTTAACATGTTAAAAGTTAAGAATAACCAGACTGGTGTTTAACATGTTTGCAACACTTTCTTACCCCTTTGGGTTCCACAAAGATGCAGCCATCCAAGGTCCAGTTTCAGAAGAATCACAGGCTGGATTGTTGCCTCAGGGTCTGACTTTCCTCCTTTATATTGCAAGCTGGAGATAGAACTGATAGGGACTGTAATTCTCACTGATTAATCAACATAATTAATAAATCAGTTTAATTAACCAATAATAATTATTAGTTAATTATATAATATATATTAATAATATACATTTATATTATATATAAATAGAATATATATTATAGCATATAATAAATTTATAAAATATATTATATTATATTATATTATATTATATTATATTATATTATATTATATTATATTATATTATATTATATTATATTATATTATATTATATATAAAATATATATACTAATAGTAATTAACTAATAATAACTAATAATTAATCAACATAAATAATAAACCAGCTTAATTAACTAATAAACAGACAACTGTGTTCAATTTACATTATTTCACTTGCAATTACACACAGCTACAAAGCTACCATTTACCAATGCTAGATCCCATTAATTACACATAACTACTACTGAAATCCTAATAATTACACATAACTACTACTGAAATCCTATTAATTACACATAACCACTACTGAAATCACCTTTCCTCCCCACAGCATTGAATATTAAGGTGCAAGTTTTCCCTCTTGGCTCTGCCCCCCCTACACCAGTCCTTTCCAAAGTAAGCCTGGCTGGCAGGTCAGTGAGTTGTCCCAAGGGTTCCTTTTGGCCCCCTGGACCATCCATTGACCTCCCAGAATCCAATTCCTGTGCTGAGTCCCCCCAGGGATCCCTTCAGAACCTGGGAACAGATTTATCCCATGGTTGCTCCATGGGCAGGACTTCCATGGAGGGAGGGAGTCCCTTGGCATTGAGGGATTTCCCCCCTGTCTGTTTTAAGATCAACATTTACATTTTAAGACCAACATTTGCATTTTAAGACCAGATGACACCCAGTGCCCAGGAGCTCTTCCCTGCCCAGATGTGGGCTGAAGTCCAGGCCCAGGGTCCCACCAGGCCATGCCAAGGCCTCAGTGGGGGCTGCATGGCTTTGGGATCTGGCCTTGACCTCTTCCCTGTGCAATGCTTTAGGGCCATGAGGCCAAAACTTTGGGGGCTGGTTGACTTGAGACCTGTCTGTGTCTCAAAGAGGCTCTGGGAGATTTTCAGGGGGTTTTCAGGAGCCCCCCACACTGTGGGGAACAGAAAAAGGGATCCTGAATGGAGCTCTGAGCACCTCACACTGAAGAGAACAGGAAAAGGGGCCCCACATCAGCTCTGAGCACCCCAATCTATTTGGAAAAGGAAAATGGGCCCTGCATTGAGCTCTGAG